TGCTGTCTACATCTACTACATCAGARGAGTTAGTGAAGGTAGAGCCAGACTCTTCTCCAAAGTGTCCGATAGCAGGCTGAGAGGCAGCAGACATCAAACACAAGTTGGTACCTGGGAAATTCTGATTAGCTAAAAGGACATTTTTTGTGAATTGATTGGCTTGTTCCTTTTTAGACTAYTAGCAGAGTAGTAAGTCAGCAAGCAGTGGAACAGGTTGTGCAGAAAGMTGTAACAATCTCCTTTCTTGAAGGTGTTSAAGACTAACCGTGTATTGTGGYTTAACCCCAGCTGGCAACTCAGCCTCATGCAGCTGCTCATGTACTCTTCCCTGSTGATTTGGAGGAGTCAGAAGGGTAAAAGTGAGAAAACTCGTGGGTTGAGATGAAGACAGTTCAGTATGGAAAGCAAAAGCTGTGTGCTCAAGCAAAGCAAAACAGGGAATTCATTCACCACTTCCCATGGGCAGGCAAGTGCTCAACCTTATCTTCTGGGAAACAGGGCACCATTCTGTGTAACAGAGGCTTGGAAAAACAAATGTCATCACTCAGGTTTCCCCTTCTTCTTCCTTCCTTCTCTACATGCTGAGCATGATGCCACACAGTCTAGAACATCCCTTGGGTCAGTTGGGGTGAGCTGTTCTGGGGTGTGTTCCCTTCCAATTTGCTGTGCACCCCCAGCTTATTTGCTAGCCCCAGCCAAASGCAGCACACCTCTCACTCAGGTCCCAGAGTGATCTGATCTAACTTGAGCTTGAAGTAGATCAGACTAGYCAATCTCCAAAGGTTTCCCACAGCCCAAAATATTATTCCATGTGGATACCATACAGAGCAATGCTTGCTATTGGGAGTGTGATTTGTCAGGCTTGCTTTTAAAAGTCTCTGTATTCAGGGGATGGGTTCATGAGGAATGACCTTTTTGTGGGTTTTGTGAGTCATGTTGCAATTGAAAACAAAACTGAAAACCTTTGATGCTGACTGTTCCCTGGGGGTAGTTTTAAGGTCTGTTTGTGTGTACCCACATTCACAACCCCATGGTTTTCTCCCTTGAGATGTCTTCCATTGTCTGCCTGCTCTAATGAAGTTTGTTGCCCAGTTGATGGCTCTGGGAGCTCAGGACAAATACAGGCGGAAGGGAGAAATACACAGAACATTTAGAAGAACGGATCTGTGGCTTTCCCAGCAGAATAGAGGTGGATTAAATCATTCTTTGGCTGATGCTGCTGGCTTATAGATGCTATGGAATGTGGAAAAAATTACATAAAAATACTCAGAGAAGAATGTTTGCAGTTAAATACCCCTTCCATTGCATGGGGTTTTTTTTTTTCCTTAGTTCATACCTTAATGCTTTAACTGGTTGGAATATAYAACTACTCTTTAAAATGGAAACAAAGTAGAGATTTTAAAGGCTGTTTRTTCTCTCCCCTTTGCCCTGTTCTATTTTGAATTTTGACATTAGCGTCTWTTGAAAGGGAGCATATGGCATTTCTAATTAAGGCCTGTGATTTTCTGACATATAACTGAATAATACATTTCAAACACTGCCAAGTCTTCCAAATTAAAGAATTTTCTAGCTGAAACACTGGAATGTGTGTGCTGTGTAACACAGGTCTTCTTTAAAATTTCGAAGAATTTTGCATAGAATACCAGCATAGTGAAACATCAAGAGGTTTGTTTCTTTAACCTGATTTCAGTATTCCGTGGCAAGCTCAGGTTTGGATCCAATAACAGCTAGTGTGYTTTGCTCAAAGGATTCAGTGCAGCTTCATTTTGAAATGTTTTGTTCTGCTGGAGGATTTTAGTCATCTTTATCAGATTTCCTTCCAGGTTTCAGGGTTTGATCATGTTCGTATTAACTCCTGTAGAGATGTGCTGTAGTTCTTAGTCTCTCCAAACAAATTCTAATCCTTTCAGTGTTTTGTGCTAAATTTTCTTCCTTTACTTTGAGTGCATAAAACCTTTTTGAAATTGTGATTTGTGATAAATATTCCTGATGTGAGCTAGATTTTTTGAGATTCTCAATATGTACCAGTATTATTAACGTGTAGCTTCTGTCTCTGAATGGCAAACGTGCTCATCTCAGAGGTTTCCTCAGTTTTTTTTCTTCTTTCCTTGGGAAATAGAGGGCACTACWTTTATTGTTGATCCCTCTGACCTGACTGTGTAAATCAGGAGAGGAGATAATTTTAAAAATGTAGTTTCCCTTTTTTTTTGGTTAGTTATTGCCAGGTCTGTGTGGCAAGTGAGGAAATTGCTTCRACACTATTTTTGGTAATTTTTAAAGGGAAGCTGAGTTTTCAAATAATTTTTTTCCTTAGAACACAATTGATTCCTTTGGTTACTGGGATACCTGTTACTGTGATACCAAATTTTAGTTAAAATTACRAACTTGGGGGTTTTAGATCTTATTTCCATCAGTAGGTCTAGTGAATTACATGCAAAAGATGTGGAATCCTTAAAATCAAGGTTTTTTTTAGATTTGTAATGTGGGTGGGTGGTTAATTTGTTTGAATTATTTTTAATTCTTATAGGGAAGTATTTAAGTGGAAGTTGGGCTTGTACTTGGGGACTGTAAAGTTGTACAAACAGGTTCCAAGCTAAAGGCTAATTAACACTAATGTAGTGTTAATTTTGAAACACAGGTATTTCTGACGTGCTTCTCTCAGGGTGGCATTTTTGCTGTTAATTGTCCTTGAAATAGTTTATGCTATCTTTGTCCTCACATCTCACTGTCAAATTCAAGCA